ATATATATACTTACATGTTGAAACTATCATTGCCACATGTCCTCTGGGGAGAAAAGTTGATCTGTCCCCAACCAACAACCATTGTTCCATCCCAGGAATTGGTTACTATCACCCTTAATTCACAGATAGAGAGATCTGGGGCAGAGAGAGGGGAAAACACGTACACAGTCCACAAATGAACCCTGTGCCTTCAAAGCATACATTCAGCATTGCTTCCTGGAGTCGAATTAGGATATTTTGGTGTCCTGGTTGGTTGCATTTGAAAGAACTATCCAATATAATAAAACCCTAATATGCAAATTCACCAAACAGTGGAATGGCCAGTTGCTGTGATGCACACTGACCACTAGGAGGCAGGTGCTCAATGCAGATGCTGCCCCCTGGTGTGCTCCCATAGGGGAAGCACCACTCAGGCAGAAGCCAGGCTCATGGCTGGAGAGTGCAGTGACAGCAGCAGGAGCCTCTCCTGCCTCTGCAACAGCGCTAAGGAGCAGAAAGCTGAGTGGTAAAGAGCGAGCAGGCAGGCAGTAGGAGTGAGGGATCCAGGACAGTGAGCAGGATGTCTGACTGCCAGCTTAGGCCCAACCCTCAGGGGGATAGGGCATATATACATTTGGGCAAATTCTAAATTTTCTCTTGGGGATTGTTTTTTAACATTTACCTTTGTTTTGTTTTGTTTTTATTATACTTAATTTAAAGCTTTGCTGATCTTCATAGAACCCTAAACTTTTTTCTATCTGTACCAATTTGAACTGTTGGTAATTATGTTTTCCTATATGGGGGTACTATTGCCAATGTAAGATAAAGACAATGTAATTTAAAAAACAAAAACACAGTTCTTTATTCCTTTTAAAGCTCTGAGCTTTCTCCTAAGGAAATGCTTCTGCTTTTATTTTCATGGTAAAAGATGTTTTTGTTACCAGTAGTCTAATGTAAATTTGTTTCCTTCTTTTTAAGAATAACTCATTTTGTTGTTCATGGAGGCTATTTATACTGTTTATTCACATACTATTCATATTCACAAGCTTTGCTTTGGTTTACAATGAGATGTCCACCTTGAATTTATACAGAAATTAATGAAAAGAAATGTTACATTGACATCCGGAATTTTCTCCTATGGTAACTTCAAAGCAGTCTTTTAAAATAGCCTTTTCCTTTTCTTTCTTGACCCATCCTGTCATATCAAACCTATGCCTAACCACAGATTCTGAGAAGTCTAGTCATCTAGAATTACTATTTTTTGTTTGCTTGAGTGTTGATCTTCAAATCGCTTATAAGGAAGTTTTTGAATGGTGAGCCGGGCTTTTCTGGTTACAGTTAACTTATTTCTGTCTCCTTAAACTAGTTTGTCTTTATGCTTTGAATGCTACAGTAATTTCTTTAATCAAATTGATGGAAGTCCCTTTCCCAGCCCACACTGAAACCAATTTATTGGTCATGATACGCCAGCTATGTTGCTAACAGTCGTAACGAACTGTCAGGCAGTATCGCAGGGAAGCTAATTTGAAGTCATTAGGTGTGCAGCGCTCAGGCGACAATTTGTTACAGTGGTTAGCGACACAGCTGACGTTTCTGAATGGCTTTGTTCGGGGCTGTTCTCGATGAGGCCAAGCAAATTGTAAACTAATTTAAACATCACTCTGTATTATACCGGCTACTCTGTCTTACACTGTTTGCTAATAAAGCACCCCAAATTAAGTCAAAACTAGTTAAATAGGTGAGCTGAACTGTGTTCTTCAGACGATACCTACACAGGGGTCGCTGCGCATACAAATAGCGTGAGAATTGGATCGTGTGGATAGGTGGCATTGCATTGGGGTTGTCATCACATCTATATGACTTATAGAAAAAAACAAAAAAAATATTTATATATAACAAATTCACCAAACAGTGGAATGGCCAGTTGCTGTGATGCACACTGACCACTAGGAGGCAGGTGCTCAATGCAGATGCTGCCCCCTGGTGTGCTCCCATAGGGGAAGCACCACTCAGCCAGAAGCCAGGCTCATGGCTGGCGAGTGCATCAGTGGTGGTGGGAGCCTCTCCTGCCTCCGCTGCAAGCAGATGGTAAGGAGCAAAGGATCCCGGACTGCGAGAGCCCCAGACTGCAAGAGGGATGTCTGACTGCTGGCGTAGGCCCGATTCCCAGTAGGCGGACATCCCTCAAGGGGTCCCGGACTGCGAGATGAAGCAGGCTGGGCTAAGGGACCCCCTCCCCCCCACCCCGCAAGTGCACGGATTTCATGCACCAGGCCTGTAGTTTCAGAATAATAATGATGATGCTGTTATTCCCATGAAAGGTTATGTCACCATGACTCCAAACCACTATGTTTCAGAGAATTCTCACCAATTCTCCCTGGTGTCAGGGAGGTGTTAAACCAGTATTTGGGTGTGGTACAGACATTCCATGATAGGGCCCCATAAAACTCAACATCTCCTGACGTTCCCTGGTAAGAAAAAGTCAGCTATGAATTGTGGGACCAGTCATGCATCGAAGTAGAAATGTCAGCTTACACAGGAACTTGTCCCCATAGAGGGGCTCTGGTGACTTTGGGAAGACAGTAACTTTAAATAACTATGAGTAACAGCAATTGCAGTGGTGGAAGCAATTACTATACGATTATGTGTTCAGTCTTAAATGGGGGCTTAGCATTAGTGAGCATTGACGTTATTCTCTCTCTGTAGCAAATGCCAGAGCTGGTCACTGCGGAGTGGTGACTCACAGCTCGGGTTTTTGTGACACCCCGAGGGTGCTTTAAATGATTGCAGGGAGCCCAGCACGTGTGGCTCAGTGGTTGAACATCAGCCTATGAAGCAGGAGGTCACAGTTTGATTCCGGATCAGGGCACATGCCTGGGTTGTGGGCTGGATCTCCCATAGAGCGTGTGCAGGAGGCAGCCGATCAATGATTCTCTCACATCATTGATGTTTCTATCTCTCCCTCTCCCTTCCTCTCTGAAATTAATAAAAATATATTAAAAAAGTAAATGATTTCAAGGAGTATCTTGGTTTTTAAGAAAGAGATTAGCAAAATAAGAATCAACTGAAACTCTCTTTTTAAAATAAATACCTGGTATATATTTTTAGATATATTTTATTGTTGAAAGTATTACAGATATCCCCTTTTCCCGTTGACACCCTCAACC